TCTGCTCTCCGGGTCCCCCGGTCCCACTGGTCGGGAGGAGCCCCCCGCGCCCCTGTCCCCGTCCTTATCGGGTCTTCAGGGAGGTGGCCGCGCCAGGCGGAGAGGGCTCACCGGCCCCGCGTCTGTCCCCGCCAGGATCCTGGTGGACCTGCTGAAGCTGAACGTGGCCCCCCTCGCCGTCTTCCAGATGCTCAAGTCCATGTGTGCCGGGCAGAGGCTAGCGAGCGAGCCCCAGGACCCTGCGGCCGTGTCTCTGCCCACGTCGACAGTGCCCGAGACCCGAGGTCAGACCTGGGCCCGCTGTCCCTGCCCCAGTGGCGGGGGTGGCGGGCGGGGAGGGGGCAGGTGCGGCACAGCGGCGGCGTGGCCCTGAGTGGCCAGGCCTGTCTGTCGGTCTCGGCCCAGCACCTGCAGGGCCCATCCGTGCGCTCTGCTCCTGGGCTTCGCTACCAGCCTTAGGAGGCACGTCCAGGTCAGGTGGACGCAGAGTGCGTGCCCCAGGGTGGTCCAGGCTGGGTAGGGCTCCTCTGCTTAGCTCCTCCCCACCTCTTCACTCAGGCCTTCATCTTATAAAGTCCAGAATCAAGAAGGTTTGGGGCTGGGCGCCGTGGCTCACACCCATAATCCCAGCACTTTGGGACGCCACAGCGGGAGGATCATTTGAGGCCATGAGTTTGAGACCAGTCTGGGTGACAGGGTGAGATCCTGTCTCTAAATATGTTTTTCAAAAGACAGTCTCAATCCCTGTCCTGCGGTATACAGCATCCGGGGAAGTGCCCAGGGAGCGGGGCAGGCGAAGGTCTTCCTGCCTGCACCCCACCTAGGCCCCGTTCCTGCGCAGGGACTTGGCCAGCCCTGGCCAGCTTCCCTCTGATGATTGCAGGAAGGGAGTCAGACGCAGAACTCCCAGGATGCAGAGGCCTGCGGGGTCTGAAGGGCCTCCTCCCTCTCCAGTGTGGTGACTGGGCTGAGCAGATGCTGGGGCTGAGAGTGTCATGGTGGAGCCTCCATCCCTGCTCATCCTCCCCGCATGTTGCTTCTGCTCCTGATGGCTCTCTCTGAAATGCAGCACAGCGTCCCAGGCCAATGGAAGAAGGCCCAGAGCTGGCTCCCTGCCTGGAAGCGCCAGGATACCCGCGCAGGCATCCTGAGAAGGCGTGGGGAGCAGGCTGCCTTCATGGGGGGAGCGCCAGGGCTTGGGCACCCACGCCCCCTGACCCAAGAGGGCCCGGGCACCTGTGTGCTGGCCTTTTCACTGACCCTCGCTCTGTCTGCTCTCTTTGTGTCTCTCTCTGACCTCCAGAGGCCTCCTTTCTCTCTGCCAGGAACAGTAGCCCCCCAGCAAGTTCCTCCTTTTTCTCCAGCCCGCAGCCTTCGGCCTCTCCCGTTCTGCTCCACAGCCTGGCTGCTGCACACTCGCCTCTCTCTCCAGGCCCCCCGGGTTCCCTCCGCTTCTCTTGCTGCCTGTTCTCTCCTTTTGCAGGTTGCGTTTATTGGCTTATCTCTGGGGGTTGGTGCTCTCCCTTGTTTCCATTTAAACTGCCTGGCCCCAGGAGGCCCAAGCAGCTTTGAGCTGCAAGGGCAGGACCATGCAGGCCACCGCTGCCCTGCCACTTAGCAACAGGGCAGGATTTCTGATTCGGTTTGTTAGAGACATGGTATGACAGTCTCTAGACCCCACAGTCGGGCTGGCATCCGGGGACAGGACCAACACCCCCACACTCCAGAGGCGAACTGTGGTGAGTGTAAAGAGCCCTGCTCCAGGGGAGGACAGCTGGCCAGGGTGCGGTGTGCTGTGCTGGAGAGCACAGCCACGACTGCTGTGCTTGTCACCTCGGCCTCTTAGAAGTTGCCCCCTACCCGGACAGGAAGTCTGGAGGCTGAAACAGAGAGTCCCACCTTCCCCGAGTCTCCTGGGATGCCATTTCACACGGATGCCATGTGCTGGTCCCATGGCCACACAGCAGCACTCAGCCCCTTTGCCCGCCTCACTCCTGAGTTGGGGCCACTTTCCAGGTGTCACTAGGTGTGATCAGGGGCCCAGAGCCAGGGGCCTGTGAGAGCCCAGGGGTCTTTGGTCACACCTCCTGCATGTGCCTCCCGACAGCGCCCACCTCACTGCCACCCAGAGCTCAGGCCCAAGGGAGGGTGGAGGGGGCTGAGGGACAGGCCTGGAGTAGGGGTGTAGGGACTGCAGGCTGAGATGAGCAATTGAGGGGCAGGTTTCCAGCAGGAGGGAAACTGGGAACAGAGTCCTTGTCACTCCAGGGGATGTTGCTGCTCACTCAGGGGCTCTGGGTGCCAGACCCAGCTCTCAGGGCAGAGGGCGTGGCAGGGAAGTGAGATGGTCACACTCAGTTCAGTGAGAGGCAGTGAGGAAAACTGCCAGCAAGACCGGCGTAGTGGCTTACACCTGTAATCCCAGCACTTTGGGAACTCAAGGCAGGTAGATCCCTTAAGCTCAGGAGTTCAGGACCAGCCTGGGCAACATAATAAGACCCCATCTCTACAAAAATTACAAAAACTAGCCAGGCAGGGCCGGGCGCAGTGGCTCACACTTGTAATCCCAGCATTTTGGGAGGCCGAGGCGGGCGGATCATGAGGTCAGGAGATTGAGACCATCATGGCTAACACGGTGAAACCCCGTCTCTACTAAAAATACAAAAAAAAAATTAGCTGGGCATGGTAGCGGGCGCCTGTAGTCCCAGCTACTCAGGAGACTGAGGCAGGAGAATGGTGTGAACCCGAGAGGCGGAGCTTGCAGTGAGCCATGATCACACCACTGCACTCCAGCCTGGGCGACAGAGCAAGACTCCTCAAAAAAAAAAAAAAAAAAACTAGCCAGGCAGGCATGGTGGTGGTGCCCGTCTATAGTCCTAGCTACTTGGGAGGCTGACATGGGAGGATCGCCTGAGCCTGAGGGAGATGTTGCAGTGAGCTAAGAGCTTGTAACTGGACTCCAGCCTGGGCAACAGAGCAAGACCCTGTCTCAAAAAACAAAAAACAAAAAAAGAAAAGAAAAACCGCTAGCAATGGAGATGGGAGGAGGCTTCAGAGCCCAGAGAGCAGCAAGGGTTACATGGGGCAGAGCAGGAGGCGGCGGGGGTCAGCAGAGCTCCACAGGTGTGAGCTGTGGCAGTGGGAGGGGGTGGGTGAAGCAGAGTGCTGTGCGGGTGCTGCTAGGCCCAGGGTGGGAGGAGGGAGGTGGGGGGCACAGTCAAGATGTACGTGGGGGTTGTGGCACTGGAAATGCAGGCATAGAGGGGTCGGGAGGATTGGGGGTGCCATGTGAGCGAGTGGGGGCTCCGAGAGAATTTACCCAAGGACAGGAGTGGCCTGGAGTGCCGGGCCCCTCGCGGTCTTTTGTTCCTCGAGGGCTCTGTCCTGGAAGCATAGCCCAGGTCCGGTCCTATAGGCTGGGGGCAGAAAGCCAGGACGTGAGGGCACGGAGGCCCTGTGGGGATAGAGTGGAGCCTGAGGAGGGGGTGGAAGGGAATGGGGCCACACCAGGAGTGCTGAGTGAGAGGCAGAGGCCACAGATGGAATGCTGAAGCTCTCTGAGGCCCACATGTTACAGCATCTGACCACATGGAGCTCCGGCTGCCCTGGTAACGGCAGAATCAGGTGGAGGACATAAGGGGGTTGTCAGAGTGATCCGGCTGGGGGGCATGGAGGCCACGGATTTCCCACAGGACTCGGGTGTGGAGTTCTGCAGGCTGTGGGCCAGGCCCACGCGAGCTTGCCTCTGAGCTGCAGCAGGCATCCTGGGTCCTCTGGATGCCTGTTCCCTAGCCATCCAGACCGCCTGGGGGAACCACCACCACCAGATTCACTCACACCCACAGGGCAGGGGAAACAGAAAACCCCAGAAGCACGGAAGGGTGATGCTTGTCTTGGTAAGAGTCTGGAGTCACTGAGGGAAAAATAAATTCAGTCAAGCATTCTATTGAAGTTTAGGGAAACTATGCATTTTAAAAGTTGTCCAGAGCATGCACGTAAGATGACACTTTGGAGTGTGGAAGCCATGAGTCTCACCTGAGCTGTGCTGCCTGAGACAGGAACCTCAAGCCACACATGGCTGGTGTGGTCATTGCACTGCGTGTGTTATGCACAGCAGATGCCAAAGGACTGGTGCAAAAGGGAATGCAAAAAGCCCACCACACCTTGGGAGGCCGAGGCTGCTGGATCTCTTGAGCTCAGCAGTTCAGGACCAGCCAGGACAACATGGGGAGACCCAATCTCTACAAAAAATACAAAAATTAGCAGGGCATGGTGGCACACATCTGTAGTTCCAGCTGCTTGGGAGGCTGAGGCTGGAGGATAGCTTGAGCCTGGGAGGTTGAGGTTGCAGTGAGCTGTGACTGCACCACTGCACTCCAGCCTGGGTGAGAGAGTGAGACCCTGTCTCAAAAATAAACAAAAAACCCCAGGTGAATGAGGCTGGGCATTGGTTCACACCTGTAATCCCAACACTTTGGGAGGCTGAGGCAGGAGCATCACTTGAAGCTCGGAGTTTGAAACCAGCCTGAGCAACGGCAAGACCCCACCCATCTCTACAAACAAGAAAAAGAACAAAGGTGAATGCAACATCTTATGAATAACTTATGTACTGATTACATATTGAAATAATACGTTGGATATTTTAGATTGATTACAATATTTGAGCTAATTCTGCATTTTCTTTACTACTTATTTATTTTTGAGACAGAGTCTCTGTCACCTAGGCTGGAGTGCAGTGGTGCACTCATAGCTCACTGCAGCCTCAACCTCCTGGGTTCAGGCAGTCCTCCCACCTCCTCTTGAGTAGCTGGGACTACAGGTGCACACTGCCACACCTGGCTAATTTTTTGATTTTTTTGTAGAGATGGAGGTCTCATTGTGTTGGCCCAGCTGGTCTCTAGCTCCTGGCCTCAAAGTACCCGCCTTGGCCTCCCAAAGTACTGGAATTACAGGCGTGAGCCACTGACCCCTGCTGAGCCAGGCTGGTTTTAACATTCAATGGTCATTGACAATCTTTGGGCTTAGGAGGGCCCTCCAGGGACCAGGCCTAGGGGCATCAGTCACCCCGCCCTCACACCCCAACCACAGGCACACTTGGTTCAATCCCACTGTCTAGCCCGTGTGACTTAGCGGCGCCTTCCGAAGGAGCAGGGCTAAGCCAAGCTGGTTTTCCCACTGCACGGCACTGCAGGCCACTCTATTCTGGGCCTTCTCATCCTTCATAAACTGAGGAGGCCTGAACAGGGCTCCCCACTAACCCCGAGAGCACGCAATTCCTGAAGATTTCCAGGATTTTCTTAATATCAATTATGGCTTAAAGTTATGTTGGTTTCACATTTACAGGGTTTGTCAACCCTGTCAGATTTAAAGATAAGTAGTATTAGCCAGGTGTGGCCCCATGCTTGTCGTCCCAGCTACTTCGCATGAGTCTGGGGCAGCAATGAACTGTGATTGCATCACTGCACTCTAGCCCGGGTGACAGAGCAAGACTCAGTCTCTAAACCCCTCTCCGCCACCACTTAAAAAAAAAAAAAAACCAACAAAACATCATTTGCTCTTTTCTGCTTCCCTCTCATCCTTGTTTCCAGAACGGACCGGGTCATTCCTGAGGGGAGGAGAGGAAACTCAGATGGCGGCAAACTGAAGGGAAGGCGGCTCTGAGTCAGGCCCAGGTCTGCAGCCTGCTATGCCGCTGGCTGTGGGGAGCTAGGCATTAGTAACCTCGAGAGCACATGGGCGCCTAAGCACCCAGGTTAGGCCGCGGCTACAGAAGATCTGCCTCTGTCTGGCCTGGCCTGCGGAGGGACTGTGGCCTCAGGAGGATGCTGGCCCAGTGGGAGCTGCTGCAGGGTGGTGGGGCCCATCTGCTCATGGGAGACGGGATCCTTCCCCGTGACCAGTCAGTGGAGACTAGAATAATGGCAGTTTGTACCACAAGAGACGCGTGGTGGCTGTTCTCTGCTTTGTGCCGTTTTCACGAGTCACTGCTGGGCTGAGGTGGCCAAACGTCACCCACCACGTGTTCTTGACTGCGCTCCTCCTTGACTCAGGGCAACTCCGACTCCATCTTTGTTGAGTCAAGTGTGCCAAGCTGTTCCAAGCATGACACTGCTATAACCCTCACCACCCACCAGGCAAGAATGAGCAAAGATCTCATTCTCTGAGGAAGAACTACCCAGAAACTCATAAGGAGGGCTGTCCTATCCCTGCAGGGCATGGGGAGAATTTTGTGGTATTAGCATCGGAAGGCAGCTAGAGGTACCTCTGGAAGAGCCAGGGTCCTCGGCATCTCAGACACAGGAGTCTGCTTGTTCAAGGTGACAGATGGTGAAACAGAAATGACCTAATGGATCCCTAAACACCCAGTTACATCTTTTGTCCAGGAATGCAGTTTCCCATTGCAGGCTATTTGACTACACTTGCTAAGAGGCCAGGGAAGGACCAGGATTGAGGCTGGGCGTTCTGTTGGCTAAACCCTTGTCTGGAGTCACCCTAAAGTGGTGGCAGGGCAGTTCCTGCAAGGGACTGCCCCAAACCTTTCCAGGATGAGAGCCAGTTGGGATTCCAAAGGAAGAAACAATGCCAGAGTGGTCAGTCTAAAGCATTTGTTAGGGAACTTACATACAGAGGGGGCTGCAGTGTGCCCTCATGAGGGGCAGCCAGGAAAGAGGTTGTGCCTGGGCACACCGCACTGAGGGGGTGGGGTGTGGAGTTTCTATGACAGTGCAAGGAATTTGGCTGGGGTGGGACCGGTTTCTACATGCTTAGCAACATGTCAGATCTTTCAGTGTTCCAGGTAACAACCTAAACCTGTGTCAGTGTCTGAGAAGATGCAAGCCCCAGCCAGGGTTCCAGCCTGCAGGGGGAACATGTAGCTGATTAGGTCAGAGTGGTCAAGGCACTCCCTCAGTCAGGACAAAGGAAACGCTAGGGGGACGAAATGGGGGACCCAACACTGAGGCAGGGGACACATGTCCTGTTTAGAGCCCCTGGGGCAGACCCTGCCAGGCCAGAGCAGGGGAAAGCCCTGGCCAAGGCACTCTGCACGGCAAGCCTGCCACCCGGGTACATTTGTACCTTGCAGGGTCCCCTCAGTCAGTCTTGCTGATACTGTCAACACCCTGAGCCCAGGGAAATCCATCCCATTAAAATAAAGCTCTGGCCCAAGTGTGGTTGCAGATCTATCTTGGCTATCTTAAAGTGTAAAGTAAGCAAATTACAAATCAAAGAATCTCTGAACCAGTGGTCTTCATCCGAGAAAGACACTGGTGGTCAGAAAGTCTCAAACATTCAGACTGTGGCAGGAACCCTGTCATGGAATCTGGCAGCTAAACCTGAAAGCAAAGAGGGTTGACCACTGTTTGCGGAACACTCGGGTAGGTAGGAAACAATGAAAGAGCTTCCAAAATCAAAATCAGAAACCCAATTCCAGGACCTGGTGACTGCAGTACTTCCTGCCCGTCACCATCTGGGGCAGCTCAGATGTACAGTCCAGCATGAATGCACCTTGAGGATGAGGCAGCGCGTCCCTGCTGCTGCTGCCGCTGATGGCACCGTCAGGGCAGACTAGGTTTGCTGTCCAGGCCAGGTGTGCACCAGCCGCACCTACTTGTCCCTAAATGGACCCGTGGCATGTGTCCTTTCAAAATGTTCCCTTGGCAGTGTGCTCCTTGCATGGCTTTGCTCCTGGGACACATCCTAAAGGGTCCCCTGCACACTGCCAAGGGCTTCTGGGGCATGACCTGTCTTTAGTGGTTCTGAGTCTCAGGACTGGGGCTGATGCAGAGCCTCTAGCTGAAGCAGCCTTGATGGAAATGTGTAGACACAAATGTTGCCCAAGGAGCACGAGTACCACAGTTGCTACAGTTACGGGGCTCACCCATTCCTAATCATTGTGCTTTGTGTCTCCTCAGGGAGAAACAAAGGCAGCACTGCCCTTGGGGGAGCGTTGGCCCTGGCGGAACGCAGCAGCCGCGAAGGATCCAGCCAGAGGATGCCACGCCAGCCCAGCGCTACCAGACTGCCCAAGGGAGGCGGGCCTGGGAAGAGCCCTACGCGGGGCAGCACCTAGGATGGGGCAGAGACTTGTCACATCTTTGTTCCCAGCAAAGGCTACGTGTTATCTCCTTCAGTTGATAATAAACCTTTCTGAGATGTAGAGGGTCCAGGTCAGACGTTCTCTACCTTTTTTTTTTTTTTTTTATATTAAGGCACAGACTTAGAATGAGTTTTCTGTGCCAGTCTTAATTGTGCCACAGCAAACTAACGGGATCCCTTCACTATGGGTCAACTTCCTGAACCTAATTTGAGTTCTAAGAAAAGGTATCTGGACTGCCAGGTCTTTTATAAACAGATGTCAACAAGCTTCACTTGAAGTGAAATGTGGGAGGTTTTTGTTTGTTTGTTTGTTTTCAAGAGACGGAGTCTCGCTCTGTTGCCCAGGCTGGAGTGCAGTGGTGTGATCTCGGCTCACTGCAAGCTCCGCCTCCCGGGTTCACGCCATTCTCCTGCCTCAGCCTCCTGAGTAACTGGGACTACAGGTGCCCGCCACCACGCCTGGCTAATTTTGTTGTATTTTTAGTAGAGACGGGGTTTCACCGTGTTAGCCAGGATGGTCTCGATCTCCCACCTCGTGGGAGGTTTTCTACCAAGACAGCTGACAGTGCTGAGGGACACGGTGGTTGTGTGTGTGCAGAGAGGGCGAATGCTGCCCTCCAGGTTACAGTGGAGCACTGGGGTCAGCATGGATGTGTTGTGACCTTCTGTGGGTCCTGAATGCTGTGCAGAACTTGGTTAATACCCTTTCCCCCTCTAAAATGTCCTGACCTTACACATTTGACCCACAGCTTTAGAGACTTCACGGACGAGCCCCATCCACAGACCTCCAACACTTCACTTCTAGTGTCTTCCTTTTAGCCAGCATGACCCATTAATAAAGAAGCCCGAAAACTCGCAAATTCAATTGAAAATCCTGACTCTGCTTTCCTAGAATTTAGGAAATCTATACTTTGAACGCTTGGCTTTGAAGAAACACTGTTTTCCCCTGGTCAGTTTACTTCTGTGGCAGCTGCTTAAGTATGTACAGTCCTGCTGCACCCAACCCCACGCCAGCAGGGCAGGCTGGCACCCCACTGCTGTCCATGCAGTCTCGGGTCCCACCAGCTCCTGTAAGGCAGAACTAAGCTGCATGACACACAGAGGTCTTGGTTTTATACAGAACCTTTAATTGCAAACAACTTGAAAGCAGCCATCCTGGGGGTGGCAGGGGAGAACTCACCACACCCTCCCCTCAGTATTCTTCGCCTTCTTCAGCCTCAGCTTCCACAGAATCCACGCCCACCTCTTCATAATCCTTCTCCAGAGCTGCTAGGTCCTCTCGGGCCTCAGAGAACTCTCCCTCTTCCATGCCTTCGCCCACGTACCAGTGCACAAAGGCCCGCTTGGCATACATGAGATCGAACTTATGGTCCAGGCGGGCCCAGGCCTCCGCGATGGCCGTGGTGTTGCTCAGCATGCACACGGCCCGCTGCACCTTGGCCAGGTCTCCCCCGGGGACCACTGTGGGGGGCTGGTAGTTAATGCCCACCTGCCAGAGAAGGGACAGAAAGCAGTCTGTGAAGCTTGTATCAAACCTAGAAATGGCAGCTACTTTTCCTCAAACAGAAGACACCCTGTGGGTGACAAGGAGGATACTCAGTTCACCTCCCAAACGTCACTAAGCCCTTCTCTGCGCCAGGCAGGGTGATAGTCCCAGATGTGGAACAGAGACAGGAACCTTGGAGGTAGCCACCCTGGTGGGATCCTAGGCTACCTGAAGGGCTGTGTCCTAGTACCTGTGACATGTGATAGGTGCCCAGGTGAAGACAGTCTTCTCTCTGAAAATGTATGCTGCTTGTCTTCTTTGTAGATTACAATTAAATTCTGTAGCTAAACTTCTTCCACCCGGATAGATTCAGAGTACACAACTCTTCCCCATGCTATCACAAGGAACATCATACCCACTTCTGACCCACAAAACAAGCCACTGTGGATATGCAAAGGTAGCTGATCATGGGTCGAGTCATATGAATGCCGCTACCGCAGCATCAGGAAGTGGTCGAAGTGGTCCATGTGCCTGCCTAAGTAGGGGGTGGCATTCCAAGGTGGTAACCAAAGGGGAAGCATTCCAAGTTTCAGAACTCAGGATTAACATGACCTGAGGTCCTCGCAGCAGTGCAGAGGGTCAACTAGAGCAGGGATCAGCACACTTGTTCTATAAATGACAACATCAGGCCAGGTGTGGTGGCTTAAGCCTGTGACCCCAGCACTTTGGGAGACTGAGGTGGGCAGATCACGTGAGGCCAGGGGTTTGAGACCAGCCTGGCCAACATGGCGAAACCCCATCTCTACTAAAAATACAAATATTAGCTGGGTGCAGTGGCTCATGCCTGTAATCCAGCAGTTGGGAGGCTAAGGCAGGTGGATCACCTGAGGCCAGGAGTTCGAAACCAGCCTGGCCAACATGGCAAAATCCCATCTCTACCAAAAATACAAAAATTAGCAGGTACCTGTAATCCCAGCTACTTGGGAGGCGGAGGCAGAGAAGTTATTGAACCTGGGAGGTGGAGGATGCAGTGAGCCAAGATCATGCCACTGCATTCCAACCTGGGTGACAAAGCGAGACTGCCTCAAAAAAAAAAAAAAAAAAAATTTCCCGGGCATGGTGGTGCATGTCTGTGGTCCCAGCTACTCAGGAGGCTGAGGTGAGAGAATCACTTGAGCCTGAGGGCAGAGGTTGCAGTGAGCCAGGATCACACTACTGTACTCCAGCCTGGGGTACAAAGCAAGACCCTATCTCAAAAAAAAAAATAAATAAATAAATCTCACCACAGATATATAGTGTGATGACTCAGAAAGAGAGTTCAAAAGACATCACTGGGCTTAGCGCAGTGGCTCACAACTGTAATCCCAGCACTTTGGGAGGCTGAGGTGGGCAGATCGCCTGAGGTCAGGAGTTCAAGACCAACCTGGCCGACATAGTGAAACCCTGTCTCTACTAAAAATACAAAAATTAGCTGGGTGTGGTGGTGGGTACCTGTAATCCCAGCTACTTGGGAGGGTGAGGCAGGAGAATTGCTTGAAACCGGGAGGCAGAGGTTGCAGTGAGCTGAGATCATACCACTGCACTCCAGCCTGGTCAACAGAGCAAGACAGTCTCAAAAAAAAGAAAAAAAAAGAAAAAAAAAATCAGTGAATCAATTATCAACTCTGGTTCACTACTTTATGCCCACATGCCTAGCCCATGGAACAGGGATAGTCTCCCCAAAGGATGCGGGCCTTCAGGGACAGTGTTATTTTGTGTGTCTGCTGCTTGCTGAAAGGCCTACACATCACCCAGTCATACCTTAAATCCAGTCGGGCACCAATCCACAAACTGGATAGTGCGCTTGGTCTTGATGGTGGCGATGGCCGCGTTGACATCTTTGGGGACCACGTCCCCCCTGTACAACATGCAGCAGGCCATGTACTTGCCATGGCGAGGGTCACACTTGACCATCTGATTGGCTGGCTCGAAGCAGGCATTGGTGATCTCGGCCACGGACAGTTGTTCGTGGTAGGCCTTCTCGGCTGAGATGACCGGGGCGTAGGTGGCCAGGGGGAAGTGGATGCGGGGGTACGGCACTAGGTTGGTCTGGAATTCCGTCAAGTCCACATTCAGGGCCCCATCGAATCGCAGGGAGGCCGTGATGGAGGACACGATCTGCCCAATCAGGCGATTGAGGTTGGTGTATGTGGGACGCTCGATGTCCAGGTTGCGCCGACATATGTCATAGATGGCTTCATTGTCGACCATGAAGGCGCAGTCAGAATGTTCCAGGGTCATGTAGGTGGTCAGGATGGAGTTGTAGGGCTCCACCACGGCCGTGGAGACCTGGGGGGCTGGGTAAATGGCAAACTCTAGCTTGGACTTCTTGCCGTAATCCACTGAGAGCCGCTCCATGAGCAGAGATGCAAACCCAGAGCCAGTGCCGCCCCCAAAGCTGTGGAAGATGAGGAAGCCCTGCAGTCCCGTGCACAGATCCGCCTGAGAGAAAGCAGACAACATGAGTCAATGGCCGTGGAAGCCACACCACCAACCTCCAACAAGCCAAGGCTACTTCTCTGTGCCTCTAAAGACTTGATATGGATTCAAATCATCCATAATAAACACGTAGTACACTTTGAAGCAAAGAAAAGCAGACAAAGATCTACAGACAAATCACCATTGCAGACTCAGTAGGACTCAAGATGCTGGTCTAAGTTTTTGTTTGTTTGCTTGTTTGTGATGGAATCTTGCTCTGTTGCCCAGGCTGGAGTGCAGTGGTGCAATCTCAGCTCACTGCAACCTCTGCCTCCCGGGTTCAAGCAATTCTCCTGCCTCAGCCTCTCAAGTAGCTGGGAGTACGGATGTGCACCACCACACCCAGCTAATTTTTGTATTTTTAGTAGACATAGAGTTTCACCATGTAGGCCAGGCTGGTCTCAAACTCCCGACCTCAGGTGATACACCCACTTCAGCCTCCCAAAGTGCTGGGATTACACGTGTGAGTCACCGTGCCCGGCCAACATGCTGATCTAAATTTTGATAAAATGACCTCCCTTTCACCTTCTAAGAACTACCCTCCCATGCAAGACAATGGCCACATGAAACCTTCTCTTCTTACCAGTTTGCGGATCCGGTCCAGGACTAGGTCAACAATCTCCTTGCCGATGGTGTAATGGCCTCTAGCGTAATTATTGGCTGCATCTTCTTTCCCAGTGATCAGCTGCTCTGGGTGGAAGAGCTGCCTGTAGGTCCCTGTGCGCACTTCATCTACAAAAGAGACAGTGTGTGCTGTGAATCTTTAAGGCCTGTACTCACCAAGATGGACACATTCCAGGACTGTTCACTTCTACAGAGTACATGCTGGTCAAAGTACATGACCTACAAGTCATAGGTCAACAGTGGCAGCATCTGGTAGACAATGTCTCTGTGTGATAACCAAACTGCATATGCAATTTATGACTTTACGAAGTTACACTCAGCTTGTGGTATACATGTCAGCACGACCAGTTCCTAGTGAAAGGAAATAAGCTCTTGCACTCCTACGCAGGTACATAATTCTTTCCTACGTGTAGCTACATCAAAGGCTGTAAGTTAAAAACTCTTACAA